CTGTAAAGATGCATGTTAGCTTCTCTCTGAATGTTAGCCTATCTGTGTACTGTTGAATATTAGCCTCTTTCTGTAAAGCTGCATGTTAGCCTCTCTGTGTTTAGCTGAGTGTTAGCCTCTCTCTTCACACCTGAATGTTAGCCTTTCTCTGTACAGCTAAATGTTAGCCTCTCTCTTTATAGCTGAATGTTAGTCTTTCTCTGTACAGCTGAATGTTAGCCTCTCTCTTTATAGCTGAATGTTAGCCTTTTTCTATACAGCTAAATGTTAGCTTCTCTCCGTGTAACTGAATGTTAGCCTCTCTCTGCACAGCTGTATGTTAGCCTCTCTCTACAGCTGAATGTTAGCCTTTTTCTGTACAGCTGAATTTTATGGTACAGATGAATGTTAGCTTAGATGAGGCTCTTTTCTGTGTTCGTATGGCTGACTGCAGAGCAGAGTCTTCTCAGGTCAAACCTGCCAGCTTGCTGTTTCTGGGTGTGGGCTATTTGTGCAGTAAAAGTTGTTTCTCATGAGTTTAGCTTGAAGACAGCGGATCATAAGTTAACCTAGATGACTGATGGTATTGAAGGAGCCGCTAGTTCGGTAGCTTTAATTCCTCTTGTGAGTGCAAACATGTTTCCCTTTGTTACAGAAGTACAGAATGATGGGAAATGGTGTTCCTTTTAGATTGAAATCAAAGGGGAAAGGGATTAGAATGAAAACATGGGGGCAGATTTCAGAACCCTATTTGATGTCCCATCGAATCCTCTCTCCTCCACCCTTCACCCTTCAGTCCGTGACCCAAGAATTGATCGTAACCCAAAATTTTTATGGACATTTTACAAGAGGATGGAACAAAATTAATACACCATTGAGCTCATGTTTGGTCAGTACTGAAGGAAAGTTCTGTATGTGAAAGTTTCCTTTCTGTAACAAATACAGAATTATGATATGGCCGGAGCTGGATAGGCAATCTGAAAGATGTTACAGACCTATCCTGAGCATCAAAACATCTAAACGGTCTCAATATCTGATGGCACCATCTGCTTTTTGCAGATAATATGACCTACATTTTCATCATTAAAAGCCACAGATAATCTTGCAATCCCTGTTAAATACTCTGCATTAATATCATCTGTCACAGTGCCACCCAAATCAGGGCAACTGTGTCTAGAACATCATTAGCTTCCATGTGGTTTAATTCGACATGCTGGCAGCTTCCGGATACAGAGACAAGTTAAAGCAAAAACAGCTCAACAATTCTGAAATGGGCTTAGTGCCAAATCTACATGGGTCAGGCAGATGAGTTCTGTGTTAATCTACAAATTTTCTGAGCATTCTGTCAGTTAATATTAGCACATTCTCTTTATCTCACTGCTACGGCACAGGATGAAAACACCCCAATCTCTCAAGTGCTGATTAGAAACAAAACAATCTAACTTGCAAACCTGGAGAAGCAGAGAAGGAGTGAAATCTTTCCAAACTGCTGGTTCCTTTATATTCAGTGATGATCTGAGTGTCCTGGTGTGCTGGAGATCTGTCGATAGGTGGACAGATGTGGTTAATAAGGGTTTTATAAAGAGTTAATTAACAACTTAACATGGTTTCAGCCAAGTGTCTGATGATTTTTATCACATTTTTATAAGTTAGCACCATTCCATTACTTGTTAGCTACATTAGCCTCATAACTCCAGTGCTTACACTAAAGAAGCAAACCTCAGAACATCTTGGCTGATCATTTACATTTAGAGTAAGTGAGGCAGACTGACACATTTACTGTATATATTACATATATGGTATATACGCTCATTGACTAAATATATATATTCTGCTGTCAGAAGAAAACCTTGTATCTCCATTTTTGTCATTTTTCAGTTTTTGACATAATTTGAAAATGCCTGTTGCTCTTTACATCTTTCATGATGAATGGACCAAAAGAAATGGCCCAAAATTACTTGGAAAAAAGTCTGTTTCCATTGATTTACATTAAAAGTAAACTAAGTTTTCTCCTCCTGCTGTAAAGGTAATATTTTGGAGTTTTTTCTTCTGACAACAGCGATATATATGTATATATATTGGATATATGATATATATATATATATATATATATATATATATATATATATATATATATATATATATATATATATATATATATATGCTCATTAGTTGGAACATACAGGCTCTGTTGCTCTCATTGGACGTCGGTGATGAAAACTGTTCACTCTGTGGCGATCATGTGATGTTTGTGTTCCAATTCTGCATTTAAAACATTGGTCCTCATTCTCCAGTATCTTCCTAAGTTTGTTCTTAAATGTGTTCTTGAGAAAGGTCCTAAGAAAAAATATATGTCAGATTCATGAAGTGTTCTTTAAGCGCAGAACCGTTCTCACCTTTGTACTCCTGAGTGTGTAGATTCTGTTGTTACCTAAGAACAAATCCCTAATAAGAAAACATTAGTGAATGTCAGAATCTTTGTCAAAACTGCATAAGTGGGTTCTGAAGAACGTTTGGTGAATGAGGCAAATTGTTCTTGAGTTTCTAAAAGTAATAAATACATTGTGATTTTATTAAAGGTTTTCGATCGTTCTCTAAACTGAAACCCAGTTTTTTCTTTCTACAGGTCTGATTGTAAATGCTGAAAGTTGTCTTTAGGATGTTAGTAGACTGAGCAGTTTTGTGGAGTTCATCATTCTCCCTCTGAGATAAAACTCTACAGTCTACTGTCTGTCCTAAAGATCATCTATAAATCATCATAAAAACGCCATAACACCAACAACCCACACATGAAGAACTACAGCCCTATAAACTCACTCTGGACTGATAATGCTTCATATCTCTAAAGGTGACTTTCCATAATTGAGTGTGTAAGATGTAAACAGAGTGATTCAAAGTGGTTTGGTGTGAAATGGTTCAGATGTCTTTATAGCGGTGGTGATAGGAACCAACACAAATATAGACATTTTATTTACTATCCAAAACCACCAGTGAACCTACATATGTTTTATATGGAATGTTGATGATTGGAAAATAGTGGAAAATCTGAAATTGTAAGTTTTCTTTGAGGACTATTTTGCCTCAAAGTGCCCTGCATGTATCCCTCCACCATGAATGAAGTTCTCAAAACTATCATAAAACAATGTCTCAGACATCAGGCAATGTATTCACATGCTTTCATTTCATGTAATAACTTTCTGTGAGGGAGCTTTTAGAGGTGGATGTCTGCTTCCTATCACCACCACTGTGAACAATTCTGGCTTGGTAAGGTTCTCTAGAATGGAGCGTTTCACACCAAACCACACTCTTCACACTTTAATTATGTAGGTAATGTAGATTTTGGATTTAGATCAGAAGCAGTTCTGAGAGAAGCTGTGCAGACTTTTGGAGCTATGTTGGGGTGAGGTAGTAGGTTGTATAGTTTGGTGGGATTAAACCCTGATCAGTTGATAACTATACAGTCTATTGCCTTCCTCGCCGCTCCAACAAACTGACTGCAATCGAAAAACACATCAGTGCAGAAATATTTAGAGAGCTTCAGTTCAGTTACACCAACCTGCTTATGATGGTTATTAAGTACTGCTGCAGATGTAGTCTCTCTAATAAAGAAATCATTTACATCATTCTCACTGTAGCGGACCTGCTTTTTAAAATTTATTTAATAAAGCTAATTAAATGTTAGCATTGCTACCACTTGCTAGCACTCCGCAAGCCATGAGTGGACAGATATAAAAATGTACACTGGCCAATCAACCTTGTGGTCAAAATAAAGAATTTGTGGCCACAATAACAGAAACATGTTTATTGTACATTGTATTTACAATTAACAAACAAGCTTCAATGCTAAAAGCAGTCAGGTGTTGCGTGAAAAAGGAAATATTTACCATTAAACCATTACATTTATAAGAACACTGCTGTTGTGGTGACCATGGTGGTCCGCCAGCTAAGGTGGTGACGTCATCTGATCTCAGTTGTTACATCAGGTTCTGTTTATCTGCTGCTGTGAGAGACTCTCAGTATTACAGCTTTTTTAACAGATTATTTCATTTAAGATCGTATTTCATGCAGTAAAATTAGCTAACGTCAGCCAATGGAACGACACCTGTGACTCGAGGTGGGCCAGCTCTGCGGGAGGACCACCACAGTCACTACACTGACGCATTAGCTATTGCCATGGTTCCAGTTAAAGAATTTTAAGAAAATCTGTTTGGATGCAGTCAATTCTGTGTCCAATCAAACATGTTTGTTAAATAATCTCAGATGAGTGACCACTCAGACCACGGGATCTAAGTTATTCTAAATCTGAACTGTTGTTGCCATGGGTGCCGGGCAGTGTCCACCCTGCTAGCTTCATGCTAGTTTTTTGTTTTTTTTATCTGTGCTCAGTGAAAACCTTAACATTTTGATATTTTGGTAATTCGTTAAGACTTTAGAACGAAGAGCATTAAGAGAACAACTGCTGTGAAAGTGCTAATTCTTAATTATCTATCAGATTAAATTAGAATTTGAATAAAACAGAGTGATGAGAGCATTAAGCAAAATCAGATAAACTCACTAATGGATTCTGCTGAATGGAGGTTCTTCAGAAACATGGACAGATGTGAGGATGTGCCGCCCTCTGCTGGACAGACACAACAACAATGTCACAGAAAAAATAAACCTTACATTAGGTTTAGAAACAGAACTGAAGTTTCCATCCTTAAGTCAGAGATCTCTGTCTGCACATGTAGAAATTTTCTTTTTCCTTTAATTTAACTTCATTATTACTATGGCAACAACCGACAGTGTTAACAGTGATGTCATGAAAGTTATATTCACTGTCACTGAGTATCAGTGAGACCATCACCTGACTATTTGGAGAATTTACTGCTTTTATTACCATTAAAGGAGAAAAACCGAAGTTGTGCAGAGATCCAGACAGATCAGAGACAAACAGTAACACGAGAGTTTTACTGTTTATGATTCTACAATATTCAGACTTTCTGTTAAATCTTTCTGACAGTTGCTGCTTAAGTTTTCAGTTCTGAGCAAAAATGTTCATTTCTGACTGAGTGGGATGGAAGTGAGTCCAGGGGTCCGCGACACTCTGTGTATCAAACTCACAGCATCTTAGCACTATTTAAACACAATGTTGTTTTAGAAGTGATAACAATTCAGGTCTGAACTCTACAGTTTAAAGAGGGATCAGATGTCTGACCTCATTCTCCTTGTGCAGTAATGATCAGCTGAATATCAGACCTCACCATTTTTTTTACCATTATTTTCATCTTTACTTTCACCATGATTCTCAATGCTATTCTCACCATTACTCTCACCGTTACTCTCAGTGTTACTCTCACCCTTATTATCATCATTACTCTCACCATTACTCTCACTGTTACTCTCACCCTTGTTCTCACCGTTACTCTCACTGTTACTCTCACCGTTACTGTTACCCTTATTCTCATCGTTACTCTCACCATTACTCTCACCGTTATTCTCACTGTTACTCTCACTGTTACTGTCACCCTTATTCTCATCGTTATGCTCACCGTTACTCTCACCATTAGTCTCACCATTACTTTCACTCTTATTCTCATCATTACTCTCAACATTACTGTTACTCTCATCGCTATTCTCACTGCTATTCTCACCGTTACTCTCACTGTTACTCTCACTGCTACTCTGACCATTACTCTCACCGATATTCTCACTATTACTCTCATTGTTACTCGCACCCTTATTCTCATCGTTATTTTTACTGTTACTCTTACCGTTACTCTCACTGTTACTCTCACTGTTATCCTCACCATTACTGTCACCCTTATTCTCATTGTTATTCTCACCATTACTCTCACCATTAGTCTCACCGTTACTCTCACCATTAGTCTCACCATTACTCTCACCATTAGTCTCACCATTTGTCTCGCCGTTACTCTCACTGTTACTCTCACCATCAGTCTCACCGTTGCTCTCACCGTTACTCTCACTGTTGTTCACATCATTACTCTCAACATTACTCTCACTGTGACTCTCACTGTTATTCTCACCATTACACTCACTGTTATTCTCATCATTACTCTCAATGTTACTCTCACTGTTATCCTTATTGTTACTGTCACCCTTACATTCCACACTGGTTTTCACTTTAGTTCTATGAGGCTTTAAAGATAAGAAATTGAAGCACTCACATTACAAATTAAGCTGTAACACTCAGACACTCAGCTCACCTACCTAAGCCCACTGCTTGATGCGCAGTAACACAGTTACACATGTAACCCAATAAGACATACATATAACTTAAACTAACAAAAAACAACACAAACAACATTTAAGTCCTGTTTTATGGAGTGCGTGAGTCTCCAGAGCCTCTATGACAACACAAGCCAGCTAAAACTGCTGTAGACCGAATGGGTGGGGCTGAACTGCTGTAGGCTGAATGGGTGGAGCTAAACTGTTGTAGGCTGAATGGGCAGGGCTAAACTACTTTATGGTGAATGGGTGGGGCTATACTACTGTAGGCTGAATGGGCAGAGCTAAACTGCTGCAGGCTGAAGGAGTGGAGCTAAACTGCTGAAAAATAAATGGGTGGAGCTAAACTGCTGTAGGCTGAATGGGCGGGGTTAAACTGCTGTAGGCTGAAAAAGAGAATGTTTGTAAATGTTTTGGTTTTCATGACATCACAAATACAATGAATTAGAAATTGGCTGTTTCTGCAGTTTATGGATTGAATAGTATGTTTTGTTTACATTCAACATCGAACTCTTTCTCTTTTTTTAAATGAATAAAATTTCAGGCTCCTTAATGTCACACAAACCAAGTCTCATCTAATGTGTTTAAAGTTAGTGACATCTCTGTTGAAAAACACATCATTTGCACTCATCCTCCAAACACACTACAAACAAATATAACTTGCTCTAAAATACATCCTTGTTTTTCTTGTTGTTGTAAATGATTGACAGATCTGTTGTAGTGGCGGTTTTCCAGAGTACTCATACTTTGCATAGGTGTGTGTGTGTGTGTGTGTGTGTGTGTGTGTGTGTGTGTGTGTGTGTGTGTGTGTGACTCATGAAGATAAACAGATCAGCTCTTCAGCACCGCAACTATACATAAACTAAATGTGTTTCTGTTCATATCTGCGCTTTAGCTACATATAAACCGAATGTGTTTGAGTGAGGATGTCCACCATAATAAATTAAATTTAGATTTTTACTACCTGATTAACACTTCCTACACTCTATCTGTGATTTCAGCTTAAAGCTTCAGCTTCATAAACATATTTGTGAGTGAGTAAATGTCTGTGCAGATGATCAGTTGAGCAGGTGAACAGATGGGCAGGTGAGCAGGTCTGTAATATTAACAGATATTGAGATGATTTTATTCAGTCTGGTGTTCTGAACTGTACAACTGTACATAAACACAAACAAACAGATTCAGAGAAAAGATGCAGACACAAACACATTTTCATTTCATAAAAAATACAACATAATGAACTTCACTACTTAGAACGTAGCTTTGTATGATACAACAATCCTCAGATTTACAGCATTTTAAAGATTTCCTTTTGATCCTTCAAGAAAAAATGTTAATTAAAACATTGAAGAATAGTTCCAATCAAATTTGATCCAGGCAGCCAATCAGATCCATTAGATAATCAATGCAGGTGTGAAACAGTAAATACTCAGTATTTATTCAGGATTCCCTGCAGCAGAGTGACGCAGTCGGGTTAGACAGCTCATTCAGTCAGTGCAAATTTTTAGATAATTTATTAACTCAGAATGAATTTTTAGATAAATTATTAACTTAGTGAATTTTGAATAAATTATTAACGCAGAGGGAATTTTGGAGAAATTATCAACACAATGAATTTTTAGATGAATTGTTAACTATGGGTAAATTTTTTAGATAGATTAGTAAGTGAATTTTCGGATAAATTATTAACTCAGAGTGAATTTTGTATAAAGTTTTAACAGAGTGAATTTTCAGATAAATTATTAACTCTGAGTGAATTTATGGATAAATGATTAACTTGGAGTGAATTTTGGATAAATTACTAACTCAGAGTGAATTTTGGATAAATTATTAATGTAGTGTGAATTTTAGATAAATTATTAACTCAGATTGAATATTTAAATTGTTAGAGTAGTAACAATTGGTAGAGTAGATAAATTATTAACTGTGAGTGAGTTTTGGATAAATGATTAATTCAGAGAATTTTCAGATAAATTGCTAACTCAGAATACATTTTTGGATAAATTATTAATACAGAGTGAAATTTTGGATGAATTGTTGGCTAAATTATTTAGAGTCAGAATTTGGATAAATTACTAAGTCAGAATGAATCTGATATAAATTATTAACTCAGAGTGAAACTTCAGATAAATTCTTAAGTCAAGAGTAAATTTGTAGATTTATTATTAATTCAGAGTGAATCTTTAGATTAATTATTAACACAAGTTAATTTTTGGACAATTTATTAATTCACAGTGAATTTTAGTTAAATTATTAATTCAGAATGAGATTCTGGATAAATTATTAACTAAAGAATTAAAGAATTGTGTGTAAATTATTCTTTTAGGGTAAAGTTTTGGATAAACTATTAATTTCTAATAAATGTTTTAAAATAAATTATGAATTCAGAATGAATTTTGGTTTAACTATTCATTTCTAGTGCATTGTTTTGATAAATGATGAGTGAAATTTTGGATAATTGATTAATTCAGAGTGAAATTTTGGATAATTGATTAATTCAGAGTGAAATTTTGGATAATTGATTAATTCAGAGTGAAATTTTGGATGAATTATTAATTCAGTGTGAATTCTGGGGGCATTATTAGCTGAATTTTTGGGAGCTGCTCTGGAGGCCCCTCAGAGTTCTTTCATTGAACTGGTAGGTGAGTTTGCGTTTGACTTTGCAGATTTCTCCGGTGCGTGAGTAATTCCGTAGAGCTCGAGCCATTTTCTGGTAGGTCATGGTTTTGCGGTTTCCTTTGCGTTTCCCCCACATTTCCGCCAGTTTCTCTTTGTTCTGTGAGGAGAACTGGAAGGTTCCGTTTGCTGACTGAACCCACCAGATGCAGCTGCGCATGTCGGGACTCTGCAGCATCTCATACAGAAACTGAAATAAACGCTCTTTTCTTTTACCTGCAGAGAACCAGAGAAAGAACGTCTGTTCATTTCAAACACTGTTCTTCTCTTTCTTGCTGAAAAATAAATAAACAGACCACAATTCATTCTGAGCATCTGTCTGTCTCACACCCTCTGTCTGATTTTTACCCATGTGTCTGTTCCTGTCTATCGATCTATCCATCCATCAGCCTGTCTATCTGTCTGTTTATCTGTCTGTCTGTGTAACTGTCTGCTTGTCTCTGTCAGTGTTTGTCTGTCTGTTTAACTATCTGTCTGTCTGTTCATCTGCTGTATATCTGTCTGTCTGTTTGTGTGACTGTCAGTCTTGTATCTGTCTCTGTATCTGTCTGTCTGTCTCTGACAGTGTTTCTACAGTAAAGGTGAATAAAGGCCCGGTACCCGCCAGTGGGGCGATGGGCAGCGTCTCCCAGGCTGCAGTTCTCCGGCCACCTGTAGGGGGCGATGGGGGAAACTCTGGGCAGACAGAGCTGCAGTGGGAGTCAGAGTCACTGAGGGGCGGAGCTTCATACACACAATGCCCGCCCTAAAACACACACGCAGCATGAAGTTAAGGTCAACTGTTCCACCAAAATACCTCCCCGCCCAATCAGCCGAGACGTTTTCGGTGTCTTAAGTTTATTTCTTGTTACCTAACAAGTAACGGAAGCTTATACACACCGATTAACATGATGCTAACTGCATGCATACATTGTCTCACACATGCCTCAAACCTAAACTGACAAAAGTACAGACAAAATTCAGGCTGTGTTTAGCTGTGCTGACGTTTCTTTGGGTGCCCTTACCCACTCATTGGTGCTGTACTGGCTGGGCCACTGCTGCTGCCCGGTGGTTCTGTCCTCTGCTCTGGCTGCGCTGCCGTACTGCCACTCATACGCAAACCGCCCCCACCAGCTGTTCTCTGAACACAATCACAGACTGCAGTAAGACCCTCAGTTATCAATAACCAGCTGAAGATTCTAAAACCTCCCTAACATGTTCAGAGATCTTTCTTTTGACTTAATCACATAATAAACTAAGTAGCGAGTTAAACTTTACCTCCTGCTTCTCACTGAACTCAGCACTCTTATCACTTTAGTCCTGCCTGGATTCACATCGCTGATATTTTACAGACAGATATTAAAAAGGGGAGATTTTTATAACCGCTGCTACTTGCCATATTTATTCTCTTAGAGCTCATGTCCATATTAAACAACAATTCTGAGTGAATTTTTGGACAAATTCTTAATTCAAAAAGAATTTTGGATACATTATTAATTAAACTTAATTATGAGCAGTTAGTTAATATTAATTTTGAATAACCTTAACATAAATTATTAAGTAATATTAAACAAATCCATATTAAACAAAAGAGTGAGTTTTTGGACAAATTAATTCAGAGTGAATTTTGGAAAAAATGGATGCTTTTTGGAACCATTAACTTGAGTGGCAGGACTTCATCTCCATCCTCTCTACACTCATGCAGGCTGATTATAGCAGTACTTCATATTCCGACATTATGAGTGTTTAGTTTTCTATGATTAGATGACAACATCCAAGTTCTAAGTTTGTAGAAAATATAACTCACTAGAAAGTCACTCATCCTGCACCCATTTTATTGCTGTCTGTGCACAAGAGGATACGAGTAAATTGTCACGATGGACGTCCCCTCAGTAAACTAGTCCATTCTAAACTGGGCTGAAGACCTCCAGAATAATGTACAGAGGTCAGACTGAGCTGCTGAAATGTTGGTCAGTATATGAAGAGCTGAGTGTGGTGAGTTATTCTAACACTCAGCACATTCTAAACCCTAAACAGGTTTAGTCACTAAAGCCGTTATTGTTCATTATCAAGGCATCACAAGTTTACATGTTACAGCAGAACAGCAGAGCGGTTCTCCAGCAGAACCCGATAAATCAGTCAGCCAATCAGTGCACAGTATTCGGGTCCGGTGAGGCAGCACTGCCGCCAACTGTTTCAGGCAGAATCTCAAAAGACTCCCTTCTCCTTACAAAGAGGTCTTAAAATAATGGCTACCGCATCTAAACAGAGCTCAGTGTGTCGAACAGATAACCACTTTGAATTCAGCCATGTGAGCACAATTCTTACTGGACATAAAGCGCAATATTTGGGTGGAAAAGACAAAATTTCATAACTCACATAGTGCACTATACAGGGAGCAGTGAGCCGTTTGAGATTCAGCCTTAGGATTTTCAGAGCTCTGAACTTATGGATGTTTAATATTAACCAATGGACTGGGTTCGTGGACTGTTTAATGGGCTGTCTGTGTTCAGTTTTCAGCTCTTTACCTGCTTGTTTTATGGTAAAGATGTTAAATATTGACCTTAAAGAAACTTGTATGCATTAAATGGCTTTAACTCTGAAAAATGAAATGACTATTGGAGTTATCTGCTTTGACAAAAAAACAAAATTGAAAAAAAATTAAAAATCGTTAAATTTTTGAAATTTTTTTTTTTTTTTACTTAATCAAAACAACCCAACTGCACTTTGATTGACATTATCTGGAATGCACAATAAAAAACATGATTTATGACAGTTAAAGCAGAGATCTGTTTTTGCAAATAAACTCCTCATTTTCTCTCAGATTTTCTGAGATGCAGTGTATCGAACACCTGAAAAGTGAACATCTAACCCAGTCCTTGAGCATCTGTTCACAGCCCTCATCCAAAATATCAGCAGCTTTCGGTGAACTGACCCCGTCCACCCAGTACTGTCCTTTGACCTTTTACTGTCCTTGTCCCCTGACCACTGTTTTCTCTCGCTGACCTGCGATGATGATCTCCCCATCAGTCCGGCTCTGTGCTCTGGGTTCTTCTCCTGAGTGCTCCTGCAGATACTCCTCAATGACCTCCAGCTCCATCTCTCCAGCCGATGGCCCACAAGGATGGAGCTCCTGCAGGTACTGGAGCTGAAGAATGCAGCAAACAACCAAGCAGAAGAACATGGAGTAACCCAGAGGAACAGACAGACAGAGATGCTAAAGCAAAGCTGAAGTGACAATTCTGATGTTCATCATTCAGACCTGCACTGATCTCACTGCAGCGCCACTGTAACAGCTCACTGTATCACAGCTTAGTGTATAAGATTGTATTGCAACATATTATATAGTATTCTAATGTATTATGTAGTACTCTATCATAACATATTATATAGCATTCTAATGTATTATATAGCAATCTATTATAACACATTATATAGTGTTCTAATGTATAATATAGTAATCTATTATGACATACTAATAGCATACTAATGTATTACATAATAATCTATTATATTATATGGTGTTCTAATGTATTGTATAGTAATCTATTGCAACATATTAATAATATACTAATGTTTTATATGGTAAATTATTATAACATATTTAGTATTCTGTTATATTACATGAAATTCTTTTTAAACCTGTTACATAGTATTCTATTATATCATATTTTGTGTGTGTAATGTGTGTGTGTGTACAGTATGCGTAGTGTGTAGTATGTGTGTACAGAGTATTTGTGTACTGTGTGTGTAGTGTGTGTGTGTGTGTGTGTGTGTACAGTGTGTGTCTGAATGGTGATGTTGAGAATGAAATGTTGCAGTGTGTATTTGTGTGTGTATACAGTGTGAGCATGTGTACAGACTGATTAACGCTGTAAATTTGCATGATGTGTGTGTGTGTAGTTACAGCATCATTCCATGAAATAATTTGCATTTCTGACAGAATATCTGCAGATCGAACACAACAGCAGTTTCAGTGTTTAAACAACTCAACACATGTTGAGAGAGTGTGTGTTTACCTGCTGTGTAAATGTGTGTGTGGTGTTTCTTCAGAATTTTTCTGTAATTTAAGACTTCATAATTTCATAATTTCCCTGAAATAGCTCAGTAATTTCTCAGTAATACCGCAGTATTTTTCAGTAATATCTCAGTGTGAATCCTGTTTGTCTCTCCTTCAGTAACTCTAAGTTTGTTTTGTTGCTAAATTCTAAAGTAAACAAATAAACAAACAATAAAAGACTAAACTGAGACTCACCGGTTCAAGGCTGGTCAGCATTGTGTACTCTCTGAAACACACACACACACACACACACACACACACACACACACAAATACATGACATAAATACAAACAAACATGAGTACATATCACACAAACACAAACACAAACATGCATACACAACACACATCTCACATACGACACACAACACACACACACAACACACAACACACATCACATAACACAAACACACACATCACACAACACACATCACACAACACAAACACACACACACACAACACACATTACACTCACAACACACATCAACCAACACACATGACATAACATACAACACACAATACACAATACAGCCATTTAGTTTACACAATATTCTAATGCCGAACACACATTCATACTGGATATGTGTTAATATTTAATATATTTTATTGGATATTGTTGTACAATTTATGTTATTATGATATTGAACAAATATTTTTGTCTCTGAAATAATAGCTTTACAGCAGTAAACAAAACATTCTTAACTTTTGATGTAAATTAATGTAATAAAGATTTTATTCCAATTAATATTTTGGACCACTTCTCATCAAATATTCAGGCAATGTAACGAGATGCGGCTGCACTTAAATGGTGTAAAAACAGTGACGCATGGTTTTGATAACAGCCACAATGTGCTAATACTGAATATACTCTAATATTAAATCTCTCTCTCTCTCTCTCTAATATATAATTTATTTGTTTTTTTACATACTACATGTTAATGTGTAAATGTTGATGTTGAGTGTGTGCTGGTTACCTTGGCAAAGCTCCCAGTGTAGACAGTTTTAGATGTTTCTGTAAATGAACTCAAGCACATGGAGTTAAAATCCGTCTGATGAAGAAAAGCTGGAGAGTCACCTGTAAACTTCACCTGCTGCCAGATAACAACCTTTTATACCCTATACACACACATACACACACACACACACACACACACACACCCTGGATTCCCCATGTCTCTGTGCCAATCTCTATATGCAAATCGCCCCCCCCAGCCCCACCCCCGGGTAACAGTCTGAAGGCCCTCTGGCTCCACTGCTCTCCTTCTGTCTGTATTAACGTCATTACTCATTCATTTCTGTCAAAATAATCACTCACACAACCACAGTTAGATCTGAATAACAGAAATTCTGCTACAATAATCAGAGAAATTATCTTTATTTTTTTTTTTTGCAGATAGCAAAGTTTAGTAATTATAAATCACAGTAATGTGCAGAAGTTTAGGAGTCAGAGTTTGATAGTTATGAAGATTTGCAGTCAGAGTGAGCTTAGCTTAATCTTCATTTTCATGTGATGGCTTAATTCAGTGATAAACTGCTTCAACTTCATAGATTCTCTACAAAATGTCAAATACAGAGAGAAATATCTAGTACAATTACAGTTTAGCTCATGTGAAGTTCATTAACAGAAATCCTAACACCTCAACGAATTGAGCACATTTTAGTTACTCTAAAAACAGTCTGTGATATTCTAAGAATAAATGCTTAAAAGCTTGAATCTTTACAACTACAGCAGAGCTACAGCAGAACTACTGCAGAACTACAGCAGAACAGCAGAACTACAGCAGAGCTACAACAGAGCTACAGCAGAACTATAGCAGAGCTACAGCAGACCTGCAGCAGAGCTACTGCAGAACTACAGCAGAACTACAGGAGAGCTACAGCAGAGGTGCAGCAGAGCTAAAGTAGAACTACAGCAGAGCTACAGCAAAGCAACTGCAGAACAACAACAGAGCTACAGCAGAGCTACAGCAGAACTACAGGAGAACTACAAGAGAGCTACAGTAGAACTACAGCACAGCTACAGCAGAGCTACAACAGAACTACAGCAGAGCTACTGCAGAACTACAGCAGATCTACTGCAGAACTACAGCAGAACTGCAGTAGAACTACAGCAGAGCTACAGAAGAACTACAGCAGAACGACAGCAGAGCTACTGCAGAACTACAGTAGAACTACAGAGAGAAAATACAGAGAGAAATATCTAGTACAATTACAGTTTAGCTCAGCTGAAGTTCATTAACAGAAATCCTAAAACCTCAAAGAATTCAGCACATTTCAGTTACTCTAAAAACAGTCTGTGATATTCTGGGAATAAAAGCTTAAAAGCTTGTTCTGACAGCAGAACAGCAGAACTACAGCAAAGCTCCAACAGAGCAACAGCAGAACTATAGCAGAACTACAGCAGAGCTACTGCAGAACTACAGTAGAACTAAAGCAGAGCTACTGCAGAACTACAGCAGAGCTAATGTAGATCTACAGCTGAGCTACTGCAGAACTACAGCAGAGCTACTGCAGAACTACAGCAGAGCCACAGCCTCTTGGCCAGTATAAAGTTCTGTTGCTCAGTGTTCATCTGAACTGTTCTTTAATCTAATCATTTTTCCTGTTTGTGTTCATCTTTACACACTGAAGTGTTTACTATATTTCTGTGAGAGAATCACATCAGAGAATCATTAGAACTTCTTTCACTTCTGCCAGACAGAGGTGTAAAAATCATTCCCTCATTTGCTCCTGTGATTTAGAGCTGCAGTTCTGTGTGTGTGTGTGTGTGTGTGTGTGTGTGTGTGGATAAAAATGAATTAAAGCTCAGTAAACTCTGACAAGGGAGCGGCTGAATAAGTGAACAAAGCAATAAGGTTATAATTCTGTCAGTGCCTGGAACTCAAGGTCACTGTGGCCTTACACTCAGAAAATAACTGCGATGATTACTTTATACTCAGAAAATAACTTTAATATTTACTTTATACACAGAAAATAACTTTAATATTTACTTTATATACACAAAATAATTTTAATATTAACTCACTCACAGCTTCTGGGTCAAAGTACACAGGTTACTAAGTTAGCTCTCTCAGAGAGATTAAATCTCTCACAAACAAGTCAAATAAATCCTATTTGATTAATGATTTTATTACAGACCATGGGTTTTTTTCTGCTTTTAACAGTAATGTGGTTACACAATATACAGATATGTTAACTTTTATTTTCAGTGTCAGTTGCCAATTGTCAGTGTTATGGATGAGATTACTAATTCAGGGCCCATATATGTAGGTGATTTAGTCAACTATGACGAAGGGTATTCTACTTTCGTTAATATTACTGCTGATAATGCCAGAGAAATCCATAATATCAGGGAAGCCATAAATACATCTATACCCACCAAAGAGCTCATGTCCTCTCCATCACCCCCTAAACATATCATTGTTAAAATATCCCATTTTAGTGCTATTAATAATGAAATTTTAATCGATACAGTGAGTCATCTCACATCCACCTGTAGTCTTGACATCTTACCAACCAACTTTTTAAACAGGTTTCACTCAATAGCAGTAAAAACTCACTTCAGGTACTAAACACCACAGTCATGTTGGGCATTTTTCCTAAGACATTAAAAAGTGCTGTTCTGAAGCCTCTCTAAAAAAATCTAGAAGCAACTCTATTACATAATTACACACAGATTTCAATTCTACCTTTCATTGGAAAAATTATTGAAGAAAAACATCTTAAAGCAACTTACTGTTTTTTTGTCTATACAAATTTTAATCATAATACTGAGACAGCTCTAATTAAAGTGATTAATAACATTTAAATACAGATTATTGAAAAACTTCTGTTCTGCTATTGCTCAATCTCAGCGCTGCCCTTGATACCATTGACCATAAATTCTTCTAGATAGACATGAGCACATGAGTTGGACTCTCAGGAACTGACCTAAAATGGTTCAGTTCATACCTGCAAGAAAGGCACTACTTTGTGGAAATTGAAAATAATATTTCTGAGAGATTGCCAGTGACCTGTGGTGTTTGGGCCAATCTTATTTTATTTATACACACTTATTCTTGGCCAAATGCGACAAGACTATGGGATATCTTACCACAGCTATGCAGATCAGATACTTACATCTACTTGGCCCTCTCCCCAAACAACTATGGCCCCCTTGACTCACTTTGTAAATGTCTTGAGCTCATCACTAATTGGATGGAACAAAACCTTCTGCAGTTGAATTAAGATTAAACATGATTATTTTATTTAATAGCACTGAAAGGCACAGACTAGCTGTATATCTGGATTCAAGAGCCCTAAAATCTAAAGAACTTTGAACTTTCATCCACACCTTTATTTCTATCAGGATTGATCACTGTAATGGTCTCCTGACTAGACTCCTAAAAACGACAAACAGCTTCAGCTGATTCAGAATGCAGCTGCCAGAGTTTCACTAGGAGTAAAAGAAGGAACACATCCCCTATTCATTCTTAAATCCTTACACTGAACACCAGTCTGCTCCAGAATAGACTGCTGTTAAGGTGCTGTTACTGCTCTATGAATGTCTTAATAGTACCTTATTATCCTACATTAAATTTAATTTTATTTTTTTTATTTAAGAAAGTTTCTTTAAAATTAATTCCATGATTAAAATGTTTTTAATCATGTTTTTAATTTCTATTCTCCTTTATTTTTTAAATAACTCTGTATTTTCTCATTTGTAAAGCACTTTAAATGACAGCAGTGAATTAAAGGTGCTATATAAATAAACATGCCTTTGTGATGTATTCAGGAAATAACTTTAATATTTACCTTATATGCACAAAATAAATTTAATACTTACTTTCTGTTCACAATGTGACTAACATTCATTTCACATTAACTTATTTTAATTAAAGTAACTTAACTTCAGTCAGAGTGTTGGACCATGAAAGGGACAGTATCAGAAATATAGATTATTAAAAAAAAATAGAAACTTCTTTTGCTTGGTTGCCTTTCACCAGTTAACCTGAGACTATAGGGAGTGTAAGTTGCTCACAGAGGTCAGCAGGTCAGCAATTTTGCTGGTATTTCCCTTTAAGCAATGACTAAATTGCAGTTTTGCTGTGAAGTGATGAGCTCATGGATCAGTGACGTTGTGTTTAACTGCTGGCGCTGAGAGGAGATCAATAATTCCAGCAGCAGCTGGGACACCTGTCTGATTTGCACTGCTGAGACTGATAACGCCCACCATCTGGAATATGGCACCTTTTTATGAACCTGTTTCACAGAGCCAACTCCGCCGAGCCACACTATCACACGGTCCCACCTGAGGGACGGACTGTTTGCTCTGTAAACACTTCACTGGGCTCCAAATCCCTGAGCACATCTTGTCCCGTGGGATCCTGCTCGCTTTCACCTGCTCAGACATTCATGATGGTCAGAATGGATGGACCAGCTTAAGGAGTTCAGCATTCAGAGCAGCATTTCTTAATCCAGTTTACACACAGTAAACAGTGCGGTTTACATGCTTTAAATAAACAATCCAGTTTACATGCTTCACAGTAAGCAATCCAGTTTACATGCTTCACAGTAAAAAAAAATCAGTTTACACACTTTACACACAATAATCAATCCAGTTCACACACTTTACACACAGTAAAAAGTCCAGTTTACATGCTTTACACTGAGAAAACAATCTAGTTTACCCGCGTTACACACAATACACAATGCAGTCTACAACTTTTACAGTGAACAATCCAGTTTACATGCTTTGCACATAGTATACAATTCAGTTTACACGTATTACACACCATAAACAATGCAGTTTACACAATTTACAGTGAACAATCCAGTCAATGTGGAGTCAGTGAGAAGTCAGTGAATCAGTGAGGAGTCAGTGAATCAGTAAGTCAATGTGGAGTCAGCGTTTCAGTGAGGAATCAGTGAAGCAGTGAGTCAATATGGAGTCAGTGAGTCGTTAGTGAATCAGTGAGAAGTCAGTGAGCCAATGTGGAGTCAGTGAGGAGTCAGAGAATCAGTGAGTCAATGTGGAGTCAGTGAATCAGTGAGTCAATGTGGAGTCAGTGAATCAGTGAGTCAATTTGGAGTCAGTGAGGAGTCAGTGAATCAGCGAGTCAGTATTACAGTAACAGTCAGTGACATCAGCAGAGTGAAA